ACGAAACAGAAGAAACAGACAAAACAAAGGCTCTATAGGAAGGGGACAGGCATTATAGGAAGATAAAATGGAGATAGGATGTTTGTGCATGTTCTAAAACTCCTTTCTAAGAGCAATAGGAATATCAAGGTCATTGTCAGTAAGGACTGGAATCAAGATTAGGATCAGAATCAACAGAGAATTAAAAAAGACTCACGGAAGTTCTTGTTCTTCTGTCATCTTCAGGGACTGAAATTGGAGAGGACGGTTGATCAGAGGGTCTCATACTACCATGGTTGTATCTATATTAGTCCGTCCGTGTGTAGGTTTTCAAATCAGGTCTATCCAATCTTCCTAGAGGTTTTGGCTGGTTCTTCTTCTTACTAATCTATGTCTAACAGGGAATCTCCCCTAGAAAAGAATGTCATCCATCACCTTCTTCCATCTATATTTCTCCCCTTGAAAAGGTGATGCGGAAGGAAAATAAGATTCAAAACTCCCAAAGGTAAACATTATACTCACAAAGTATTTCCTAGAAGAGATTTGATGCGTCCCACATCGTCAGCGGAGTATATCCTGGGCTAGTGTATTAAGGCTGAGTTCATCCTTTCTCTACCGAGCTAGCTTTTTTCTCTACGAGCTAGCTTTTGGGGCGAAGTTAGGGGTCCAGTCTCTTGCAAGAGTACTTGTAAGAGTCCCTTATCATTTGGTATCAGAGCTCTGGCTCCGTAGGGTCGGTGTCTCATGGGGTTCGTCAGAACGCCGACTGAGGCAGTCGGGTTTTTTGAGGGTGGGGATGATGCGTCTCACATCGCCCGCGGAGTACATTGTAGGCTAGTGTATAAGGCTGAGTTCAATCCTTCCTCTACGAGCTAGCTTTTAGGGCGAAGTTAGGGGTCCAGTCTCTTGCAAGACTTGCAAGAGTCCTTTATCAAGGATGATAACACTTGTATGCTTTTTGAGTAGTAGAGTAGCCAACAAACACACACTTCAAGGCTTTAGGATCTAATTTGCTTAGACCATTCTGATGAAGAAAGCAAACACAACCAAAGACATTAGGAGGTACAACATAAGAGTTTTTTCCTTGAAGAATCTCTAATGGAGTTTTAAACTATACGATTGACAAGGTAATCAGCAGTCAAAATAGCATCCCCCCAATATGGTTTGGGAAGATTCATAGTGAACATAACAGACCTAGCTACTTCCAATAAATGCCTATTTTTTCTTTCCACTACTCCATTTTGAGCACTAGTATTGACACAACTAGTTTGATGTATAATACCATTAGAATCTAAATAAGAACGAAAATCTACATTCATGTATTCAGTACCATTATCAATTCTTAGAATTTTAACATGGGCATCAAACTGAGGACAAATCATTTTATGGAAGTTCTGAAAACATGAAAAAGCTTCATTTTTTGTTTTCATCAAATAAACCCAAGTCAATCTAGTGCAACATTCAGTAAAGGTCACAAACCATCTATAACTAGAAAGAGAGACAGTTTTAGTAGGACCCCAAACATCAGAATGAATAGTAGCAAAAGGAATCAAATTTTTATTATTTTATTATTAATTGGAGAATCAAGAATGGCCTGGTGTGTTGGCAAGTTTACAAGCATCCATATACTAATGAATTAAAAATCACATTTAGCAAAACAAAGGTGGAAATAAAACGTCCTAAAACAAAAAAAGAGGGATTCCTAAATCTCCTATGCCATCTGATATACACTTCAATGGGAAGGATTTTTTAGAAGTTTATAACAAAGCTTGACTGGTAGCCGAATTTGAAAAAAAACGACAAACGTTCAATCCATCAGATACAGTGCATCGCGAAGCTTACCATTGCAATCGGCCAATCGTTCTCCCTGTGTTCAGTTCCTGAAATATACAATGAGTAGGGTAAAAAGTTACTTTGCAATTAAGTGCTTTTGTGATTAAGCTAACAGATAACGGATTAATAGGAAATCTAGGAACATGAAGAACATGGGAGAGTTTAATATTGGAAATACAGTCAATAGAACCTGTGCTAGCAATCGGTACTAAGGAGCCATCTGCAATGCGAAATTTGTCTGTGCCTTGATACTTAGAATATGTGAGGAAATGTTTTATAGAGCCTGTTGTATGTTTATTTGCTTTTGAATCTATAATCCAAGAGGGTTTTGCAATTTTTGCAAGAAAGGTAAGAAAAGCATTACCTGAATTAACAAAATTAGAGGCTGCAGTCTGAGTTGAGGACGAATCAAGCTGTGAAAACAATTCTTTCAGGGACTGAATTTCCTTATCAGAAAAGCTTTTAGCAGTAGATGGTTCCTCAGATAAAGCTCCACTATCAGATATGTGTGCCTGTGGTCTAGAAGAACTGATCCGCTTCCCTCCACGCCCTTTAGTTGGGCGTATGGGCGTCCATGTAAATTTCTAGGCCAGAACTTCGCTGTGTGCCTATTCTTACCGCAAATTTAGTTTACAAAACATAAATTGATCTCTATCTGAGGAACTTGCTCATTTGTAGCCTGGATATTGTTCCTCTTGCAGAATTAGCAATCAATTCTTGCTTTATTTCAATTGTAGATTCTGTTGAACCATAGCTTCCTCTAGTCTCCTCCTTTCTGTACAAATGAGGTCATGCTTGTTGTTAAAAGATGGAAAAGATCTCGTCCAAGAACTGGACTCGGGAATCTGATCATACTCGTTATTTGTAGGCCAGCCCAGAAAACCATCAACCACGTCTATTTCAATTCAATTTTTGAACTTGAGTCGCCATCATCAGTACATCTTACTTGAAAGTCTTTTGATAAAATCCAGTTCCTGCCATAACCCACGAAGTCAGCAGAAATACTCAGCGATAGTCAGATCTGCGCTGCTTGGTTGTCAGTGAACTTTCCCTGTCGCACTTCATACCTCTGAGCATAGTTCCAGAATAATCCAGTTCCTGCCATAACCCACGAAGTTCAGCAGAATACTCAGCGATAGTCAGATCTCCCTGCTTGGTTTCATGAACTTTCTGTCGCACTTCATACCTCTGAGCATAGTTTCCAGTTTGTGCATACGTTTGTGAAGCGGCATCCCATATCGTCTTAGCTGTATCAAGAAGCAAATATCCTCGGGAAATAGTTGGTTGTATGGAATTTATTAACCATATGACATAATGAGAGAATTCTCGAATTTTCACTTGTTAAAGGCCGGATCTATCGAAACTGGTTTAGTTGCTCCACCATCAAGGTATCCTTGCAAACCTCTAGCTTCAATAAATAATAAATAAGACTGAGACCAAGCCAGATAGTTTGTTCTATCTAACTTCACCGGACTAATTTGAAGTGAGGGGCTCTTTGAGTGAAAACCCATATCTACCTTCTTTTCGTCACCCATATCTTCAGAAAAACTTAAACGGCAGCAGTGGTGGAAATAAACCAAAAAAAGGAAAAAAAATTCCAAAAGGCAAAACTGGTGCTGAAGAACCAGTAGCTCTAAGTCGCCACACCGAGTCGAGGTCGCCGGAACAAGAATCGTCGACGGAGCTCGCCGGAAACAGTCGCACTCGCCGGCGCGTGAAGAACGGCCAGAATCTTCTGGAGGCGCGTGGTCGGACAGCGACGCGATTTGGACAGATTGCCTATCGGCGGTCGCTCTTCCTTCTGAGCCTGCCGGTGACAACCAACTCTCACTCCTGGCGGTACTGTGGATATCTCAAACCACTTTCAAATGGAAACCATTGCCGAAAAATTCACGGCAATGGCCCTGATACCATGAAGAAATTAAAAGAAAGAATATGTTGTATTTCTTTCTATTGTATTATCTTTTTCAACCTCTACTCCACTATATGTATATCAAAAATGTTCCAAGAAGTAATCTAAATAGGAATAAAACTAAACTAGGAAACACAATCTTTACTCTAATTAGGAATAAACCTAAACTTTAGGACACAATATTTACTTTAATCACAAAGATTTCAACACAAGCATAAGACAGACAATAACAGAAAAAGCCTTAAGCCTAGGCTAGTTGTGGTCGGATGGATAAATCTTTTGTCTCCATTTGTTTATGTTCATAATTTTATCCTCATTAATCTCGATAGGCAGTAGATCTTTCATGACCACTTCCCTTCATATGGCTCTAGGTCTACCTCTTCCCAGTTTAGACCCTCTATCACTGAAGTATTGCATTTACAAATCCGGGCATTATGGGGAACTATGTAACACATGACTAAACCATTGCAGACATCCTCTCATTTTATCCCTGACTTTTACCAATTGCATTTTTTGTCGAATGTGGTCATTCTTAATCTTCTTCAACCTTGTGTGACCATACATCTATCTTAATATCCGCATCTCTGCTACATTCATCTTATGAACATGCTGCGCTTTCAGTTCCCAACATTCATTACCACATAACATTGTAGGTCTCACTACTGTCCTATAGAACTTACCTTTCATCTTGTTAGGTATTTCCTATCACACGTGGCATTCCTCCCTTTCATCCATCCTACTTGAATTCTATGCATCACATCTTCATCAATCAGAATCCTCTTCTGGATTTATATAGTTGAATTTCAAAGGAAACAGAAGATTGGAAAGAAATGAAAGAGTATATATAGATATCTATAGTAAGTTATATTTGCAAATTAAAATCACAAAATAATATGAGTAAAAGAATAAAGTCACAAATACAAGCAAGTTAAAGGTGCATCTTGTTTCCATTCTTCTTTCTCGTTTGTGCTCACATAAACAGAAAACAGACACTACTATTACTACGGAAGCTTACTTTTTTCTACCTTATCTGCTCTAAGTTTGGTTTGCATTTACACACCCAACGGATGATATTCCCATTAGTTTAACTATTTGGCTTGAGTGTGTGCTTGATGAAAAATATCTGCAAATTGTACACAGAAGACATGCTTGCATGTAGATGTGTATGTAATCGGTTGTTCGAATATTATATTTACCTTATGCAATTCTATATCAGTGCATATATATTACATATCCAAAGTATACTATCAGTAGATTAACTGTTTTGCTTTTTCAGTTTCACTGCAACGGGTCTTGCTTGTGGCTCTAGCTTGGAAGAACCTTGCGTTTCCAATAATCCTTTTCCAGGTTTATTAAATTGTTGCTATGTTGTGTACTTTTTCCATGAAATACTGCTTGAGGCAGAGCTTATATACCGATATGTTGCAGTTTCAAAAAGCAAGTTAAGACTCAAGGTTGCTGTAATTGCTGCAAGCTGTGGGGTTTTCATGGTTCTGCTACTAGGTCTTGCATACTGGTACCATCAATGTTACAGACTCCAGCATGATGTCTTTGTTGATGTAGCTGGTAATTTTGCTTTGCCTTCCATAGTTAAATTTATTATCATCATAGTTTTGAATTTTGATCATAGTTTGACTCATATGCTAGGTTCTATAGTTCATTATTGCTTAGTTACTATTTGGTAGGTGTAGATGCTTAAATTTGTTTGGAAAATGATTATTAACTTTTCTTAGAAATGCAGATATTCTAGGTTAAGGAAAGCCATTTGCTGAAGTTTTGAACTCTTTGAGTTTTGTATTGAGCTCTTGTGCTTTAATTGAGTGACACTGTTCTCACAAACCTTTAATTTAGGATTTTTAGTTGTATGCTTTTGGCCAATAACATATTCGGTCCAAAATTAAATTTTGGGCTAAATGAAGACACTAATTTTACTTTGGGCCTAACTAAGCCAATTTCTTATTGAAAAATTGCATGTCGTATAGGGCAGATTTAGACTGGAAAAGGTGATCAACCAATGTTTTACGGTTTCTGTTTTTTAGAATTTGAGCGGTTTCCATGAAAAAAATGGCCAAAAAAAAAAATTTAAACAGAATAATAATTATTGTTATAATTATGAAAATGTACCATACATACAATTTACTATATTATAAATATATAATTTTAAAATTTTGGTGTTTCATTTTGATTTTTCTTTTGCCATTCTTTCATTTTTTTTCCCTCAAAGTTCAGTTTAGCTGTGCCTACTAAAGATTTTAGTTATTTTGATTTTCGTCAATTTTGCACCTGTATGGATGATGCTCGAACATGGAGATTTTTGCCATTCTATGGTGAAAAATCTTCATGGTGCTTGGGGAAATGTTTCCCACGGGTGGTGTTTTAGCCTTGGTGGCTATTAACCCAGTCAAGTCTACACTTTGTGTCAACTTGCATAGCATATGTGTGGGGGTGCAGACAATTTTGAAAAAACATATAATATTACAATAGAAGTTTGCAAATATAAATGTCAGCTTGAGGTGCAGCCCCTGTTACGAGTTGAGGCTTCTACTGTCATTTGTGATGTGTGTGTGTATATATATACTCCCATTTTTCTTTTAAAGACAGACATACGGTGAAAAAAAATATTTTGAAAGGCTGTCTAATTTATAAGCAATTATTTTTCCTTATCATGCTATAATTCGCCTCACTAAATAAAAATATAACATCTTAATGAAAAAAAAACTGGTTTCATCATTGACTATAATTATGATAAAGTATGTATTATTGAACATTGTAAAACCAGTTGAGGAAAATATTCTTACTTGTTGTTTTCATCAATAGGTAGACAAATATATAATGTCAGCTTTGGGTGCAGCCCCTGTGTACGAGGTTGAGGCTCTTTTTTCTACTGTGCATTTGTGGAGTGTGTGTGTTTATATTATATAACTCCCAGTTTTGTTTAAAACAGACATACGGTGAAAAAAAAAATATTTTGCAAAAGGCTGTCTAATTTATAAGCAATTATTTTTCCCTGTATCATGCTATAATTCGCCTCACTAAATAAAAAATATAATCATCTTAATGTGACAAAAAAAACTGGTTTTCATCATTGGAACTATATAATTATGATAAAGTATGTTTATTGAACTTGTAAACCATTGAGGAAAATATTCTTACTTGTGTTTTCATCAATTAGGTAGACAAATATGAAATTTAATATATATATGTGCTATATATATATATTATATTATATATATATTACAAGACATACAAAACTAATTTTAGGGATTCTAACAACTAATTTACGATCTATATACAACTAGGGAATTCTAACTCCTCAGATTAACAAAATACATAATTAATTATTAAACTCTATCATTATTAATTTCTTTTATATTTTATTGTGAAAAATATTTTAAAGCTATCCATTTATTTAGGAATGCTTTATCCTATGGATTTTCCACGTTCTTATATTCACCTACTGCATTATAAATAAAATTATCTTATTAACAGTTGGAATATTTTCTATGTAACACCACTAGCTAGCTTGCTAACACTCTAAACCTAATATTGATACATTTTTCCTCAACAATATAACGCTTCTCGCAAAAATCTGATACTGCTATAACAGAGAAGTGTCTCAGCCTTCAACAGCCGTTAAATTTAGTCTTTTTATTTTTTTATAATGTTTAGGTGAAGTGGATGACTGCAAAAATATCCTTTGGAAACTTAAAAGATTTCTTGGCTGGAGATCCAACTTACTGCAAACAGGACAATTTCAGTGAGAGCCAAACATTAATTGGACAGCGGTGGCTTTGTAAAGTTTTACAAAGGTATTCGTGGGTTCAGTATATATATATACAAGACATACAAACTAATTAGGGATCTAACAATAATACGACTATATACAACTAGGAATCTAACTCCCTTAACAAACATATAATTTAATATAATTTATATTTTTATTGTGAAAAAATATTTTAAAGCATTATTTATTTAGAATTGTTTATCCTATGGATTTCCACGTTCTAATTCACCTACCTGCATATAAAATAAAATTATCTTACTTACAAGTTGGACATATTTTCTATGTAACACCACTAGCTAGCTTGCTAACACTTAAACTAATATTGATACATTTTTTCCTCACAAAAACGTCTCGCAACTGAACTGCTATAACAGAAGAAGTGTCTCAGCCTTCAACAGGCTAACATCTTTTTATTTTTTCATAATTTTAGGTGAAGATGACTGCAAAATATCCTTTGGACAACTTAAAAGATTTTCTTGGCGTGAGATCCAACTTGCAACAGACAATTTCAGTGAGAGCAACATAATTGGACAGGGTGGCTTTGGTAAAGTTTACAAAGGTATTCTTTCAGACAACACAAAAGTTGCCATAAAACGTCTTACAGATTATCACAGCCCTGGAGGAGAAGCTGCATTCCAGAGAGAAGTTCAACTTATTAGCGTTGCAGTTCACAGGAATCTTCTACGTTTGATTGGCTTTTGTACGACCTCCTCTGAGAGAATTCTCGTTTATCCATATATGCAAAACCTCAGCGTCGCATATCACTTAAGAGGTATTTCCTTGTGTTCATAATCCTTTATTCCATCTTTCCAATGTTCAATAATATATTGATAAATAAAAACGAATCGTGTTCCTGAATTTTTACCTCATGCTTCTGAAATGGAGCCAAATTCTTCTGACTGTTGAACTTTTAGTGGAAGGCGTGATTATTGCCCAACCTGAGCCTTGATATGTCACTGATATGTACAGAGAAGAAGTCTTTATTTGTAGCTTCTTAGTGAAAAACCTTGCTTTAATTTATCTTGGGATCGTTTTACCTCATTCCCCTGGAGGTGTACTTGATTATGCAGTCAAGTGTTAAATGAAGTATCTCTTGTTTTTGTCAATAACCTATACCAGCCTGAAAGTGACACTCGTTTCCTATTGCATTTCGTGTTATTGTATTATAGATTTAAAACCAGGAGAAAAAGGCTTGGACTGGTCGACAAGGAAACGTGTCGCCTTTGGTACAGCTCATGGCCTGGAGTATCTACATGAACATTGTAATCCTAAGATTATACACCGTGACTTGAAGGCTGCTAACATCCTATTAGATGATGATTTTGAAGCTGTTCTTGGAGATTTTGGTTTAGCAAAGCTGGTAGACACAAGGTTGACTCATATTACCACCCAAATACGTGGTACCATGGGTCACATTGCCCCGGAATATTTGTCCACTGGAAAATCTTCAGAAAAGACAGATGTGTTTGGATATGGCATAACACTTCTTGAATTGGTAACTGGTCAGCGGGCAATAGACCTTTCTCGCCTTGAAGAGGAAGAGGATGTTCTTCTAGTTGATCATGTAAGAGTTTGAATCTACTGGAATTATATACACCGCATGTTAATTCTTGAATTTTGTGTTCTCTTTGCAAATTCTTTCACATAATGTGCAAATAATGTAAAAATGACATGAACAGATTAAAAAGTTACTGAGAGAGGATAGACTGGACGACATTGTGGATGGAAACTTGAAGACTTATGACCACCAAGAAGTTAAGACCATTATCCAGGTTGCATTACTGAGTACCCAAAGTTCACCTGAAGACCGTCCCACAATGGCAGAAGTGGTTAAACTGTTGCAAGGAGTTGGTCTGGCTGAGAGATGGGGGAAGTGGGAGCAGATGGAGCATGAGAGGAACCAAACATTCTCCTCACTCATGTCTTCCCAGTATGTGTGGGCTGAGGAATCAACTATTGAGCAAGAAGCTATACAGTTGTCCAGGGCTAGATAAGCTTTTGTAGAATATAATCAGTTTTGAGACCAGTATTATCAACATATACATCTGGAGTATTATATATATATATATATATATATAGATTGTACATGAAATGAAAAGCATATTATTGCTGTATTACAATATTCTGCATATTTTGCATGTAATAACTGTGGTTTGGTTTAAGATGGAATTGCTTGCTATTCCTCCATGGCCAAGAGAATGCCAATTCTTTCTCTTCTTTTTTCGTTTTTCTCCCTTTGGTTTGTTAGGAGAAGGATGTGAGAGTTACAGCCATGAGCTCCCAACTGCAAGTACTTGCAGGTGTTATCAAGCAGGATGGGTATTTTTGGATACCTGATATGCTAAAACTCGATATCGTGGGGCAGGTAGTTATAGATGAGGTTAGAATGGGTATAAATAGTAAAATGCTACCATGGCGGGTTGGATTAAGGTACAGGTTTAAGTCTTTGGGTGTCTTATCTGCTGTATCTATATGGGTCTGGTTATGATATTTTGTGCGGATATCTTATCCTTTTACATATTTTAAATGGATGTTTGAATTAGGGAAGCTTAAAGTTTGTTGACACTTGCATGTTTAAGGAATATATTAAATGGGCTTTGTATGGGTATGAATAGTAAGTATTTAAACGGGCTTGTGATGAATGAATACGAGTAGTTAAATTTTCACTAGGACAGATATGGTAGTCCAAAGTTTGCAGGTACCCATTCTACTTTATCCCTACTTGTGATCCATTATATGACCTTTTCGTAGACAAACTGAGCTGCAGAAGAGTATTATTTCCCATATTTTGATAATTATTTGCTGCCTTTCTGTACCTTCTAAAATTGCCTAGAAGGAAAAGAGAAGAAATTGTGATTAGGCACGTGCATTTTCTTAATTATTCATAAAAATTATACTGACCTATATTGGTAAACAATTACCCTTGAACAAGATTTTAGAGTGCATTTGAAATTATAGATAAATTAGATGAATATAATACAATGAAATCATATTGAATCGAGGTTGAGCTATATTTTTAGCTAGGAAAAGGCCTCAGTTTTGCTATATTATTCTACATTATATTTTGTAGTTTATTTTAAATTTTATTTTGTGAAATTTCTTGTTCAATAGGTTTACACATTTTTCCAAATCCAAACTATTTCTAGAAACACATTTGTTAAGAATGCTGGCTCTAAGAGCAATTAATCAAATTCACAACAATTTTATTTATTAATTTGGATTTATATTAATCTCGACTTATAACGAGTTGAGCTTAACTTTAATGTTAATCCATTTTTGGCTGGTTCATCCTTAGGAAATTTTTATTTTATTATTTCAAAAAATGTTATCTTTTTCTATTTTGTAAATACAGATTGTATAATATTATAATTTATAACAAAAAATTAATAGAAAGTTATATATATAAATTAATAAAAAATTATATATATTTTTGATGCTAGGAAAAGGCCTCATTTTGCGTTATATTATGCCGGCTTCACAGGTGTATATATTTGAGTTTTGTCAGTTTTAATGTATTTCTTAATTGTGTGATAATTTTCTTTCGCGGTTCGAATCGCACTCTCTTTAGCATCCATTTTCTTGCACAATATCTTACAAATGGTGGTCTCTCCTAGAAACATCATTTGTTAAGAATGGCTGCTCTAAAGCAATTAATTCACAAATCACAACAACTCTTCTTCCTCTCTCTCGATTATATTAACTCTCGAACTTATAACGAGTGAGGTTAACTTTAATGTTAATCCATTTTTGGCTCTCATCCTTAGGAAATTTTCTATTTTATTATTTCAAAAAAATGTTATTCCTTTTTCTATTCTATGTTAAATACAGATTTGCTATTAATATTATAATTGGTATAATTATAATTTATAACAAAAAATTAATAGAAAGTTATATATATAAATTAATAAAAAATTATATATATATTAAATTTCGTTTACTTGCAACGAGCACTAAAAAAAAACCCATTTAGAACGAATTTTCCGTTCTAGAAAAAAGGCTAAATTTATTTAGAAACAGATCAGAAACAGTTTTCATCCAAAACTACTAGGCAGGTTTTTAAATTTGTTTAGAAACGGATTTATGTCTGTTCCTATTAGCAATGGAAATATCCGTTTTCTAATTTCCATCATTCGTTTCTATTTGTTGATGGCGACTTCCTATCCGTTTTTAATTCATTTCTAAATTATTATATCTAGCCCCGTTTGTTTCTGAAAAAAATTTATCTTTGGAAAATATTTTTTAAATAACTTATTTTCTATTTTTTAGTTGCAATGTTGAAAATTAGTTTAAAATATTAAAATTTTTAACTGGAAACCACAATAATAATAATAATAATAATAAGAAAATTTTGCTATTTTAAATTTATTATTAAAATTGATAAAAATAAATGCAAAAAAAGGTAAATTGATTAAAAGTCATCAAGTACCAGTGGTGAGTGAACGTGAAGGTGGTAAGTGGCTACTGATGATAAAGTAATTAAAATAATATGAATTATTAAAGGTTATAATAAGTGTTGTCAAAGTCGAAAAATTTATAAGGTTATAATAAGTTTGTCAAAGTTCGAAAAATATTTTATTCTCTTGAAAATGAAAAGTTATTTTTCTTAAAAATGACTTAATTTTTCTTTGATCAGGAAAATACTTTTTGTTGACTTATTTTCCTAAACGCTCCTAAATAACGTAAAATTGTAGAAAATATTTTCTTACGAGTTATTTTACAGAAATAAACAGAATCTTTGTTTCTAACCATTTTCGGTTGTTAAATTCGTTTCGAAATCCATTTATAAATTTCTATTGCTAAATCCCTTTCCAGAGAGCCATTGATATTTCTCAAAATCTAATCCTGATGTAACACCCATTATCCGGTCTCGAAGTATTAGACAATGGATTACATTCATTGTCGGAGGCACCATCCAATGAAATAGAATCAAGTCTTCCTCCTAAAGATATTGGATTAATTTTTTTTGTCTCATAAGTCTAGAAAGTCCATGGTTTTTACTTAGAAAATGGTTTGTGAAATTCTGCAAGAAAATTGCAAGAGTTGTCTCTGAAAGTTGGATGGTAGCTAAAAGCTTGTGAAACAAGAAAACACTTTCAAACCCAATCTCAACGATCCATCAACTCCAAAAAATAAAATCTAAATCAAGATAATCCAATATCAATTCATAATCAACAACGAGGCTTATATAATAGTCATATTCGATTCCATACAACATATATGACATGTACATATCATAAAGGATTCTAAACCCATAATACATATTCTTCTTAATGCTTAAGTTAATACATAATTCCTTAAAGCAAATACAATCTCTAATATCTAAGGTTTACATGTCATATCAAAACCTAAACAAGAACAGAAGAACTAAGTCTATCAAGGAGAAATCTTCAATCTTTGAAGTAGGATCTCAACTCAAATCTACACTCATAAGTCTACAACCTGCGCGTGATAGAAATTGACGCGTTAAGTATAAAACTCAGTAGCGCTCAACCATCTCATACATCCATAAGTTACGATGGCAACAAGGTTTGATAGAAACCATTCAATTTATCAAGTTCAAGTAATAAAGCATGAACATCAATTACACATGCTAAGCATTTTAATACAAGGATAAGGTAATTATTCAAAGCATTTAATATAAGAAATGCATGCTTACATCATAAGCTCATCATAGAAACATCAAAAGTAAGAACACATGCTTAATATGCTAAAAGCATAAATCATGAGTTTGCAAGAATACCTTATACTTAAATTTGATTTCTTAAACATTTATTTCATTATAACTTATGGGCCTTACACATACTTAGAAGAATTCGGAAGCAGAACATATTAACAAAAACTAAATCAGAGGGGCTTTAAAAGCCAAGTAGAAATAGAGGGCTTTAAAAGCCAAGCAGAAGCAGAAAGAGTGTGTGCACTCATACAGAGGGCATTCATGTACCAAACATATGATCATAGCTATATCTAAATGATTAGAGTAGCATAAATGTAGTTAGCATTTTCCGAAATAGAGTAATCTTATTCAGAGCATCAATTCATACAAAGTATATGATAAGAGCACATAAATTACATTCTTTTTTTTTCTTTAACTTGATTTCATTCTTGTAACTTCATTTTTTTAGATAGTATATAGTTTATGCATGGTTTATCCCAATTCATGTCTTTTAAACTATCTAACACATGGAAAGTCCTATGTGCTTTAAATCCAAGAAAATAGGTTAAAATTCTCATATTCATGTATTTTTCTAAATCTCATATGTAATATACATATCAAGTCATATGCTTTAAGCACATATACATAAAGGCATGGAGAAGCTACAAGTCCTATAAAAGTTAATCATAGGCTATGTAACTTATACATAGCCAATATGCTTGGAAAATCTAATAAAGCATCTCACAAGCATTCAAGTCCTATAAAAGTTAATCATAGGCTATGTAACTTATACATAGCCAATATGCTTGGAAAATCTAATAAAGCATCTCACAAGCATTCAAGTCCTATAAAAGTTAATCATAGGCTATGTAACTTATACATAGCCAATATGCTTGGAAAATCTAATAAAGCATCTCACAAGCATAAGCATCTCACAAGCATCTCGCAAGCATTCAATATGATTGGAAAATCTAACTTATACATAGCCAATATACATAAAGGCATGGAGAAGCTACAAGTCCTATAAATGTTAATCATAGGCTATGTAACTTATACATAGCCAATATGCTTGGAAAATCTAATAAAGCATCTCACAAGCATTCAAGAAATTCCAACATGCATATGGATATGCCATCACAAAATCCCATAATTACACTACAAAAAAAGTGATAAAAGGGGACGAGAATTGGGGATAATGAATATTATTTGTTCCCAAAAGTCATAACCCCTCGAGATTAGGAGACAATTTTAAAAATTGTCCCTTTTTATGATAATAAGACACAAAGGAGACGAGTTTATTATGATATCTTACTCATATTTCAATTAGGCTTAGGGGATAATTTTAATTTAAGGAGGATTTTTAATAATTTATTTCCTTAAAAAAGGGTTTTACAATAAGTATAGTCTAACTAAAGGGAAATTTTTTTAAGCTGTTGGTTTACACAATTACAAAAGAGAAAAAAAAAAAAAAAAGAAAACTCGCAGTAGCACCAAAACATACGAAAGTAAAAAAGAGAAAACACAAGTGCAGCAG